CCGCCGACATCATGGCGGACACCTCCTCCTGGCTGGAGGCCATGGCCACGCCGCCGCCCAGGCCCGAGCCCAAGAAGCCCGCCAGGCCGTCGCCGCCCCCTAAGGCCGAGACGGACCAGGGGGCGGACTGGACCCCCCCGGCCCAGAAGTGGCAGCGCACGGGGAAGGGCAAGAAGGGGCAGAAAGGCCAGAAAGGCGGCAAGAAGGGCAACAAGGGCGCCGGGAAGGGCCAAGAGCGCCAACGTCGCCAGGACGAGCAGCGCCGCGACCAGGCCTGGGACGACTCATGGTGGGCGTCGTCGTCCTGGAGCTCTGGCTACGACTGGGAAACGCCAGGCCGCGACCAGGGCGGCAAGGGCGAGAAGAAGCGCGCCAACGCCAGCCGGTGGCGTTAGGGACAGCACGGGGCCGACGTCGCCTTGGCTGCGTCGGTACCCGACCCGGCGCCCGCCAAACGGGCCAAGCTCAGACCTAACCGCCCGGAAGGGCGGTCCATCATCGTCCTGTCCGCCTTCGACGGCATCGGCGCCTCACACTGGCTGGTCGCCAAGGCCTTCGGAAGGCCCTTGCTAGCGGTCTCCTGGGAGGTCGACCGGGCGTGCAAGGCGCTCGTGCAGAAGGCCATGCCCTGGGTGGAACACCGAGGCGACTTCACTCGGGACTCGCCGAAGGACGTGGCCGACCTCATCGTGGACGCCGACCCCGACGCCCTCGCCCTGATCGTCTGGTGCGCGGCGCCGCCGTGCCAGGACTTCTCCCGGATCGGCCAGGGAGAAGGCCATCTGGGCGACAGGGGCAGGCTTTTCCAGGACGCCGTGGAGTTCATGCACGAGCTCCGCGCCCAGGTGCCTAAGCACCGCTTTGGCTTCCTTTACGAGAACGTCGACATGGACCGGGCGGCCGCCCAGGTGATTTCTGACGGGCTCGGGGTCCGTCCAATCTTCGCCTGCCCCTCCGACTTTGGCTGGGTGTCCAGGCCGCGCCTGTGGTGGACCAGCGTGGACTGGACAAGGTTCCAGGTCGACCCCGACGACGGGACTCCTCTGGAGTGGGCGAAGAAGGGCCGATGGGAACGCCTTCGCCTGGCCTCCGCCAGGCCGTCGGCAGACACCTTCGACTTAGGTGGCTTGGCTTTCCACCCCGCCGTCGCGACGGGTCGGCGCCTCATGCCGTGCGCCACAACGCCGGCTCCCACCGACGAAGGCCGGCCCAAACCTCGGGCCACCAGGGGGAAGACGTCCAAGGACACCGACGCCAGGTGGAGCGAAGGCAATCGCCAATACGCCCCGTGGCACTACCAGCTCGAGGCCATGCTCCAGGACAGCCAGGGCGTCCTGCACCTCCCCACGGCAGAGATCAAGGAGCAGCTGCACGGCATCCCCACCGGTTACACGGCCCAGGCGGGGGCCGACGACAGGACTCGCCACCGGATGATAGGCAACGGCTGGCATTGGGAGTGGCAGGGCGCATCCTGGGCTTCGTTGTCCTGGCCGCCTGGGCGGCCCCACTGGCGGAGGCCAGTCGCCTACCCGCCTCGCCTAGGACCTCTACCTTGCGGTGGTTGACCCAGGCCTGGGCGGGTCGCCCGTGGGACTTCTCCCCTCCGCCCCGGCCGCCCCCGCCAGTCCTGGGCGAGGGCCTCGACATGGGGCAGCATTGGGCATCCGCGCCGCTTATGCAGCACTCTTTGACCAGGCGCCCAGAGCTGGAGCCGGCCCTCGCAGCGGTTATCCACCTCCGACGGCAGTGGCGACACGACCTTTGCCGCATCCGCCGGGAGGTCGTCGCGGAGATCCTCGCCTTGGTAGAGGAGCGCGAGGACGACACACGGGCCTGGCTCCAGGAGCTACCGGCCCATGTCAGGGCAACCTACACGACATCTGACCGCCCCAGGCCTTTTCAGGGGCCGACCTTCCTGGGCCTGCTCCGCGACCTCGGCTACCCCGCGACCGCGGACCTCGAGGAGGACCTGCGCCTGGGCTTCGACATGCTCGGCCCGGTCCGCCGCGCACCTGGTTGGAAGCCGCGGGTTGACGGGCGTTATTCCAACCCCTCGAGCATGGACCGCCTGCGACAGGAGAACCCGCCCTACGTCGCGGCCAAATGCTCCAGGGGGCGCTCTGGCGTCCACACGACGGCCCTCCTGGACGAACTGGTGCAAGAGGCCCGCCTAGGTCGTGTCATCGGCCCTTGCGCCGCTCCCGACCACTGGTCTGTGGCAGCATCGGCGCTGCCCTGGACGGCCGACATGCACACACTGCGCCGGCCGCCGCTGGGCGACTGCTTCGCCGCCCTCTCCTTCGCCATTTGCCAGATCGACGAGAACGGGGAGCTCAAGCTACGGCGGGGCGAGGATTGGCGCCGCTCGGGCCACAACGCCACCATGAGCGCCGAGGATGTGCCCACCCGCCACTTCCTGGGCGACATTGTCGACTTCATCCTGGCCGCCTGGCATGAGGGCTGGGACCCTAAGGTTTTCGGCCATGACCTTCAGAACGCCTACCGCCAGTGGGCGGTGCGCTTCCCTGGTCACTGCGGGACCTTCCTCCCCACCGACCAGGGCGTGACCCTCTGCTTCGGGGCAGCAGCGAGCGTCTGGAACTTTAACAGGGCAGCCGACGCCGTCCAGATGCTCATGCGGGCGCTCCTCCTGGTGCTCCTGGGCCACTTCGTCGACGACTTCAACGGCGCCGACGACAACCACACGGCCGACTCCGCCCACTACGCCGTGGCCGAGCTCTTCGCGGCCCTCGGCCTCCAGACCAAGCCCTCCAAGGCGCAGACGCCGGACAAAGAGCACATCGTCCAGGGCGTCCAGCTCCACATCGGGGCGGAAGGGGTGTGGCTTAGCCCGACAGAGGAGCGCAGGAGGAAGATCCTGGCGCAGATCGACGAGGCGCAGCCTCTCGCCGGACTCGGCGTCCCGCCTGGCCGGGCGCCTCACGTTCCTGTCGCAGTCGACCTTCGGCTGCACCGGGCGGGCCGCCATCAAGCCCCTCTACTCGCGGGCGGCGGACACCGCGGCCAATTCCGCGGACGCCTTGTCCGTGGGGCTGCGCGCCGCGCTGTCGGCGCTCAGGCGGCTGGTGGGGCAGTCCCGCCCCAGGCTGGTCCCGTGGCCCGGGCGGGTGCGGGGCCCGTTCCCCGTGCTATACGCAGACGCCTTCTTCTTGGACGGCGATCTACGCCGCAAGCCTGGGCACATCGAGCCGGGGGACAATGTGCCCCAGGACGCCAGGTGGCGGAACGGTTGGGGCTTTGTGCTGCTCTTGGGCGACCACGTCTTCTACGACTTTGGCGTCATCAAGCCCGAGCTCCTCACGCCTTTCGCCGCCAGGAAGGCCTTCATCTACGTGCTGGAGATC